GGCTGGCTGGCTGATTGGGGTGTGAGTATGGGTAGGTAGGTAGATTGGTTGGTTGGTTGAAAAATTCCTGAAGAAGACAATGGCAAACCATGTCTGTACCGTTGCCAAAAATACAGATAGTCCTTGACTTATGACCATAATTGGGATCAGAATTTTCATTGTTAAGCCAGGCAATTGTTAAGTGAGATTTCACAACCATTTTTGCCATGGCTGTTAAGCAAATCACTGCACTTAGGTGAAACATGAACTTATTAAGCGAATCTGGCTTCCCTCATTCACTTTGCTTGTCAGAAGACAGTTGGGAAGTTTGCAAAGGCCAATCCAATCACGTGACCCGGGATGCTACAACCATCATATATACACGCCAGTTTCCATCACCTGGATTTTGATCATGTGACCATAGGGATGCTGACATGGTTGTAAGTCTGAGGACCAATTGTAAGTTATCTTTTTCAGCCCCGTTGTAACTTCAAATGATCGCTAAATGAATGATTGTAAGTTGAGAATTAGCTGTACTACCTGGATGTGAAACAACCAACCAATGTGGTGACATTCATATTTTTTTCCAATAAAAAGAATACTCAAACAACAAGAACAGGAAACGATCTGCTTTGCTTAATAAAAAGCTTACAATGGTTTTCCTACAAAAGCTAGTTTTAGCCAAGTAAACCTCATATTTGGGCCCTTTGCCAGCAAGTGTCATCAACACGATGGATATGTGTGTTACTCAGCAAAACTCCTCCAAACTGTTACCAACAATCTATCAGATAGCCAGAAATGAGCTGAATTGAACTGAATGGATGTGGACACAAATAACCATCCATGAAGACATTTCTTTGGGCAATCTTGGAGAGCATCTCTTTCTTCCACCAACATCATCACCCTAAATATTTTTTGACTCAACCAAACCATCCTGCAGAACCCAAACAGCAGAAAGAAAATTGGTGGTTGCCAGACAGAAAGCAAAACTGAGAACAATTGGATTTTGGTGTGGGATTTAACTAGGCACCATGCCAGCTTGCCATGATAAATAAAGGGGAGCTGGAGGAAAATGCTTCCCATCAATCCATAAGGGACAAGACAAAAAACCTATTGTGTATTTCTCAAAATTAAACATGGGAGGGAGCATTCTGAAAGTTAGCTTGATCCTTACAAGGCATCCAAAGCTCTAAGCAAAATGGCAATTTACCCCAGTTCTGAGAATCACAAGGTTCAAGGAACAAATCTGTTAAAACACTACAGGCCTCTGATGCTGCTTCAGTTCACCAGCTGTACAAAAAAAACCACACCACACCAGCAGGGAGGTAAGAAGTCTTCCATGCTTTAGAGCCGCAGTGGCGCAGTGGTTAGAATGTAGTACTGCAGGCTACTTCTGCTGCCTGCCGGCTGCCTGTAATTCAGCAGTTCAAATCTCACTAGGCTCAAGATTGACTCAGCCTTCCATCCTTCTGAGGTCGGTAAAATGAGGACATTGTTGGGGAAAAGAGGCTGACTCTGTAAATCACTTCAAGAGCGGTTTACAAAGCACTGTGAAGCGGTATAAAAGTCTGCTATTGCTACTTAAGTCTGTGCTGAACCCAAATGACTGAAAGATCTACCCATTGGCCAAGCTGCTGGTGATTTGGTAAAGGCTAACAAAATGAAAGTGCAAAAATGAAATCAACGCCTTTCCTACACGGGAATTAACATGTTTCACCAGCTAATCGTTTGCTTTATTCCATTTTTTCCCCCAAGATCCCCTTTCTTCTACAACAGGGGTTCCCAATCCATGAACCAGCACCAGTCCCTGGCAGGCCAGTCCATGCAAACAAGCAAAGTCTCATCTGTGGGACATAGGCAGCATATGAAACCATGCCCGCTCCGGTCCACAGAAAAACCCTCACTCCAGGGAACCAGTCCCTGCCCCCCAAAAGTTTGTGGGCCACTGTCTACAGAACACTGGGATGGTGAAAGGATGTGAGAAATGAGGGAAGGGAGAATTAAGAAATACTCACCATATTTCTGACATCGTAGCCACACTGGGTATTCACCACATTTTGCTGAAGGGAGAGAAGAAAAGGAGTTGACATAACTTCTCACAACGCTTTAGGGAAGAGATTTATTTCACCTTTTCACCAAGGATTCTCAATGACACCGTTTTTGCTCCAATTTTCCAACATAGCAATCACCCTCTGATTGTTGGATGCAGTGAAGCTCTGTAATCCTTTGCAGTTAATCTAAATCAATTCTGTAAATTGATCAATCTGGTAAAAAGTTTAAGCATCAAACAGGCTTCTCTGGCATTGCAAATAAGGGAACATCCACATCGGTCATTCGTAGATGGCTGTACAGTTGTTAAATTCATACATCTGCAAATGTTAACATACTGACTAGGGAGCCCTCAAACAGCAAAACACAGGACAGGACGTTGGATCAACCAATCAACAGGTGTGACGAGCATCTGTACACAATGCCCAGTTGGGCCTTGGGAGGTGTTTGCATTGACCCATCTGTGGCCATCTGCAACCAATGCTAACCCTAACCCTTTGCAGTATAGGTATGTAGCAAGAGTTATGGGCAGTTGTGGGCAATTCTATCAATCAGCCTTTTACACATGTGGCATGATCAATTCTTATGCCAGAGACCAAAGCTGAAACATGTGAAGTGTTCCTGGAAAATGATGATGTAGCATCCATTTATTTTCAATGTATCATTTGTGGATTTTTTGATTTAAAAAATACGGATAAGGAACAAGTAAAAAAATGTATGATAAAGAGAGCCAAAACACACACCCTGCACAGGTGCACAAGCCTCACTGAAGCTTCCAGGAGGCATATTGGGCCGTTTTTCTCTCTCCTGAAGCCTCTAGAGGGTTCAAGAGGCAAAAAACAGCCCAGCGTGCAAACCAGAAGTCCATTCCCAAACTTCTGGTTTGTGAGTTGGGCCATTTTTTGCCCTCCAGAGGCTTCTCTGAGGGCAGAAAATGGCCAAAAATCAAGGCCGAAAATCAGGTGGCTAGCGCACGCATGTGTGCTGGAGCTGACAGGGCAACACCTCCTGTGCCCTCAGAAATGGCTCCACATACCATCTGTGGCACACATGCCATAGGTTTGCCATCACAGGTCTAGAATATATAAAGGGGCATCAAATTTATGTTGACAATGACGGGATATTTTGTCATTATTTGGTGAACGCGTAAAAAAACCTGTAAAATTCTGGATTTTGATATATACCCTGAGTCAGAAGATTTTAAAGATTAATATGTAATTGAGGCCAGAAGTCTTCCTCTTGGGACTGATGGACAATCCATGTAAATAAAGCAATGGAACTTTGTTTTTATATATGATAACCACAACAAAGTTACTGTATGCACAAAGATAGATTTGGTATTGTCCACAATAGAGGAATGGTTGGTGAAGATGATGGAAATTGCTGAAATAGCTAAATTGACTTCTTTGATTAGAGAAAAGCTGTTGAGACCCTAGAAAAATGCAGAGAAGAACAACAAAGATGATTAGGGGATGGGAGGATAAAATATATGAAGAATGGTTGCAGGAATTATTAGGTCTTGTCTAATGAAAAGAAGGACCAGAGAGGACATGATAACAGTGCTCCAATATCTGAGGGGTTGTCACAAAGGAGAGGTGGTCAACCTATTTTCCAAAGCACCTGAAAGCAGGACAACAATTAATGGATGGAAACTAAGGAGAAATTTCCTGGCAGTGAGAACAATGAATCAGTGGAACAGAAGTTCCCTCCAGAAGTTGTGGATGCTCCACAACCTCACTGGAGGTTTTAAAAAGAGATTGGACAACCATTTGTCTGAAATGGGATAGGGTTTCCTGCCTGATCAAGGGTTCAGATTAGACTATTGAAAGTCTTCTAGTCCTTCTCTCCATGAACACCTTGCTTAGGCAGGAAACCCTATACCATTCCAGAAAAATGGTTGTCCAATCTGTCTGAAAACTTTCAATGTTAGAGCAATCCAGAATTTCTGGAGGCAAGTTGTTCCACTGATTCATTATTCTCACTGTCAGGAAATTTCTCCTTAGTTCTAGGTTGCTTCTCTCTTTGATTAGTTTCCATCCGTTGTGTCTTGTCTTGTCTTCAGGTGCTTTGGAGAATAAGTTGGGGCAAGGAGACAGGAAGTAGCTCACTGCAGGATCTGGGATACAACAGGAAAAGGGGACTCCGCATCTTTCCCGACTTTTGCTCGCACTGCTACAGTTGAAATAAATGTTGAGGTTCCAATCGTTTGGACTCTGAGCACCACAACATTGGTTCTGCAAGAGAGGAAACAAAAGAGAGAAAATGCATTTGAGCATCTGATATACACAACAACTACGGAGAGAGAGCATGAAGAAGGTAAGCAACATCAGACTGCTTTAGAACAGCATTCCACAGCAGAAGCTAGACAACAAAATCAACATAGCATCCTAGGAAAAGCAATGAATCAGAATACAGCTGGAAGGGACCATGGAGGTCTTCTAGTCCAGTTCCCTGATCAAGCAGGAGACCCTGTACCATTAAAAAACAGGTGGCTGTCCAATCTTTTCTTAAAAGCCTCCAGTGATGAAGCACCAGCAACTTTTGAAGGAAAGCTGTTCCATTGTCCTCACTGTTAGGATTTATAAAGTGGTACTAATACTGCACGTGATTTTGGTTCTGTGCTTCTGATTATACAATCAAGGACTATTAGCTTTTTTGCCTGCTGCCGCACATGTCTGGCTCATGTTTAAGTGATTGTTCACTAGGACCCTAAGGTCCCACTCACAGTTACTGTTTTTGAGTAAGCTATACTTGTACCTTTGGTTTTTCTTGTCTACATGTAAAACCTTGCTTCTGGTAGTATGACCTACCAGAAAAATGGGACTTNGGCTGGGAAGAGAGAGCACATCCCATTGCCTGCTGCATCAGGGGGACTTCCCCAGGCAAGTCCGAGCAGAGCGACGCATCAGGCAAAGGGATGTGCATGAAAAACAGGGCGGTGACAGCAGGGGTGTTTTTGGAGACCTCCGGTAGTTTTCAGCAGCCTGTGGCCAGCCACCCCCACTAAGAAGTGTCTGGCAAAGAAGTGGCAGCTGGGGGGCTTTTCCCAGTCGCATCACTCTTTTTTTATTTTATTTTTGTACTGGTGTGCAAATACTCAACATGGAGACTTACACATAAATAGAACACAGAACAACAGAAGGGATCTTGGCAGTCTTCTAGTCCAACCCCCTGCTAGAGCAGGAGACCCTTTTCAGATACCATTTCAGACAAATGGTTGTCCAGCCTCTTTTTGAAAGCCTCCAGTGATGGAGCTCCCACAACCTCCGAAGTCAAGCCGTTCCTTTGATTAATTGCTATTACTATTAAGAAATTTCTGCTTAGTTGTAGGTTGCTTCTCTCCTGGATAGGTTTCCATCCATTGTTTCTTCTCTTGCCTTCAGGTGCTGTGATAAACAAGTTGGTCTCCTATTCCTTGTAGCAGTTCTTCAACTATTGAAACACTGCTATCATGTCACCCCTGGTCCTTCTTTTTACCAGACTATACATACCCAGTTCCTGCAATTGTTCTTTGTATGTTTCATGCATTCTCATCTCACTGTTGCCTTGAAGGTTAGGTTGTAATGATAAGCAGGACCACCCTTCACTGAATTGGAGAAATCAGGATGTAGGATTCAAAATGTTATCACAAATTCGTTCAGAATCGTTGATGCTTGTTAAAATTTAGCAGTGAATGTGCAAGCAGTTCTATTGTTGATGTGGGAGGGATATTTGTACTTTTCATTAGACTACACATACCCAATTCCTGTAACTGTTCTTCATATGTTTTAGCCTCCAGTCCCCTAATCATCCTTGTTGCTCTTCTCTGCACTCTTTCCAGAGTCTCAACATCTTTTTTATTTTGTGGTGACCACAACAGGATGCAGTATTCCAAGTGTTGTCTTACTAAGGCTTTGTAAAACCTTATAATTGATTTGACCACCAGATACTGCAGTATAAAATAGTATATGGTGGTCAAATCAAATTGGAAAGGCAATGCAAATTATTGAATCAAATGCCTCCAAATCAAGACCAGATCTACACTTAAAAGACTACATCTAATAATAAACGTAACTCGTTTTTCTAAACTGAATTAGAAATCTGAACCAATCTGAAGATTTCAGTCCAATTGTAGCTAATCAGCTTTAAAGCTTAAACATTTTCTTAAAGTATTCAAAGGTTTCATGTCCAGTGTAAACCTCTAAATACCCATATGGAAATAGGTCTAGTTAATAAGATTTTCTCCCAAGTAAGTGTGCATAGGATTATAACCTTTGGCTAAATGACGTACTGTGAAATTATTCTAATAATCCATGAAATACATAATTTACTAATTTTGCCAAAGCTGTATTTTAGAGGAATATAAACTGAAATTACTGAAGAACCCTCTAAGGTGTAAAGACTCCAATCATCAATTCCTATGACAATTACAGATTGGTTTCCTGGGGAAAATAGTGCACATTCCATATTCTTCACTTTTTCAGAAAACAAAACTTTTGTCTGGTATGTGCCAGAGCACTGTCTTCTAAGTTGGCTTTGACCATTATTAGAAGATGCCCTGTTGTTGGGCTACAAGCCCCACTGGGCTACCTTCTCCAAAGTTCTTAGAAAAGCTAGTTTAGTAAAACCTGAAGGACCACAGAAAATTAAACTCCTGATTAATTTACAATAGACTGGGCAGGATGACACTCAGCTTCCATATCTGAAGGCCTTTCGGTTTTTATAGGCAGTTCAGCTTTCAGAGAAGTGGTAAATATGAGATTAAACAAGCCGTTGAAGAGATCATGCATGGCTTATGTGTTCCAGGCTCCAAAGATGTGTTGTAGACCCTTTTTTCAGGTGGGGGCAATGTCCAATAAGTCTAAATACTCCCACTATCCAAAGAGGAAAGGGTATAGGCATTCCATGTTGTTTTCTCCTGTCAACGCATTTAAATGTTTAAATGCATCCAATTCTTCCTTAATATTCAGGGAAACCAGTTTTAAGGGCTACCATAGAGAGAGGGAAATAGAACATATTTTAGATCTACTTGTGACTATTTTTAAAAAAAAATATACCATCAAATTTAGCAATAACATTCAGTGGATGTGATTTTATATCATGTGTAACCACTTCCTGCAATGTTAGCTATGTTGTAGAATAGCACATTCCTTTTTCCAAACCAATATAAATAACTAGACCAATTTTACAAAAGTCTAAAATAAAGAAATGACATGAGAATCCAGTCTTGACACCAGAGAATGAAAATAATAGCATTTGTTTCTTTGTTTTTATAAATCCACTTAGGTAAATATTTTCAATCTGATAAGAGTTCCTTCTAAAGCAGGCAGTGTCTTTTCCAGATCTTGTAGCATCTCAAATGGATTCATTGGATCTGTTCCACAGGAGGAAAACGCCCATCTTCTCTACGCATGGGGTCCAACCAAAGGGTTAAGAAAGAGCAGGAATCCTTAATCCCACCCACCCATACAACTCTACAAACATGGCTTCCATGTAAAAACTCACAAACAATATACTTCCATTTGTCAACATGTACAACATTCCCTGAACTTGTTTTTAGTATCAGCATAAACTTGCAGGCCTTCCTCTCTCATCTCCACACCCTTAATTATTTGGCATCGTGCAACTTCTTTTTTTTTTCTAGGCACTGAAACATTTGGAATGTAACATTCTAACTTCAAAATCCTGTAAAGAAAAAGGAAGGAGGAAAAAATAAAATAGAAACAATGGTCCTGATACGGACATCACTAAAAGGAGGTTGATGTTGCATGCCCTGGTCTTCACCCATCAGCATGCAGAAAAAGGCTGGAGGTGCATGTGTCTCCTTCAAACAAAACAATGTTGAAAAACAATTCTCAAAACTCAGAACAAGATTTCATCCAGCATTTTAACCAAAGACATATAGCGGCTTTACGTTCTAGGTGAACTCAATGTTTTCTAAGCCTCAGACTTCCTTTCGTTTCCCTTTACAATTGTGGTACAAAGAGTGAAGATCGATTGGTCTTTGTGGATAGTTTTTATCTTGGGAAATAAAAGCCGGACTTCACTGCATCAATATCAGAAATCAGTGTCTTAGCCAGGAAAATCCCAAATATCTAATGAAAAATGGGGGGTGGGGGAGAGAGGGATGGAGAGAGAGAGAGAAATCCAATTTAGAGTAGATAACTGATTTCACATATTTCCCCAAATAACAACAGAAACCAATATTATCTCATTGAATCTTTCATGTCCACAAGGCACAAATGACCAAATTATCCTACCTTGGAGACATTAGGCAAAGACCTAGTTTTCTGGAGAAGGCTCTGATCCTTGGAAAAGTGAAAGGAGGAAGAGGAACAGGGAGGAGGAGGAGGAAGGTGGATGGAGTCAGTTTCAGTGGTGGTGAGTGCACTACAGAAGATCTGAAGGATCAAGCTAGGGGCAGATTGTCATGTAGAACAGGAGTCTAGGTATGCCAGAAACAAGTGCAGTCCCATCCTCTCTCCATGGAACTGATCCCTGGTGCCCAAAGGTTTGGTGGCCACTGATGTAAAAAATCTGTCTATGTGGTTGCTAAGAGTCAACACGGACCTGATGGCACATAATTGATATTTCATGTTGTTTCATGGCACACAAAGTGATTTGAATTCAAAATGTTCCACTTTCAAACGCCCCATTTCAACTGGGTTAAAAAATAGAAAGTAATGGGTNTTTTTAAATGCCCTGTACTTTTGAAGTTTTTGTGTTTTTCCCTTCCCCTCCTTCGGGTTTGTGCGCCGCCCTGAGTCCTGCAGGGAATAGGGTGGCATATAAATAAAATGAAACTCAAACTCAAATTTCACAAGTGCATCAGTAAAGCTAATTTTGATTTCATTTAAGCCTTTGAACTACCAGCGCATACTCATTTATGTCGTTTATTCTGAATGACAATGTGCCACAGTGGTCAGATATAATTGTCACCCATTAAATGCACCCTTTGGTTATAGACTACATTTTTAATAGAAACAGTTCCATTAATGGCTTGATGAACACTAAATGTAGTAATTTATATACATAAATCAGTACTTAAATACTCTGGTGGATATGCATAATGTTTCTCATCGTGATCTTATTTTGTGTTTTTTGACAGAAGATGTCAGAATTCTGGCATTATTTTTTGAATGCTCTTTTCTCTGTTAAAATATTCATGTTTAGCATTAAAGGAAAACCACATTGTATGACTTGTGTTTGATTTTTTTTTAATTTATATATTAAGTAGTGTACTGCCTCTTTTTCAAGAGATCAAAGTGGTGTGAGTAACATGTCTTACAACACATCTTACACCACAAGAGACATGGTGGCACAGTGGTTAGAATGCAGAATTGCAGACTGATTCTGCTCACTGCCAGGAGTTCGATCCTGACCGGCTCAAGATTGACTCAGCTTTCCATCCTTCTGAGGTTGATTAAATGAGGACTCAGATTGTTGGGGGCCATAGGCTGACTCTGTAAACTGCTTAGAGAGGGCTGTAAAGCACTATCAAACAGTATATAAGCCTAAATACTAAGTGCTACACCAGTTTCTTCCAGACAAAAATTCAGTAAGTTAGGTTGGGTTGAGGGAGGATACGTATAGCGTAAGAGGAAGACACTTGCTGTGACCAACCATGTTTCAACTTGCTGTGTACTTCCCATGTTGGAAACAGAAACCATAAACTGTTTCGCTGGGTCTCCATCCCATTTCTGTTGGAGGCACCATTTAAGGTGCTTTGAGGTTGACAGGATTAGCTGGTGACATCACCATTGCCCAGGGGATACTCATGGGACCTCCTTCAAGTCTCCACCAAGGAGTTGGAGTGAGTGATGGGAGTTGATCCTTCCAAGCAGCAGCACTTGGGTCTTGCTAACCTCCAGCCCAGCACCCTAACCTTGTGAACCAACATGTTCCTGTTTCTCTGGGTATAATTACTTTTACCCAGTCCCCTGCCCCTCTGTATATGTTTTTTCTTCCATGATACTTGTAGGTTTTGGACGCATAAATTTGCTTGAATAACTCTGGCATCAGCATCTTAACTAATTGGACGTTATACTTTTTACCAACTCAACTCCTTCACTCTTTCAATATCTTTAGTTCTATGGATCCAAATTCTTAGAGCCGAGGTGGCGCAGTGGTTAAATGCAGCACTGCAGGCTACTTCAGCTGACTGCAGTTCTGCAGTTCGGCTGTTCNTCTATTCTATTCTATTCTATTCTAGGATTCTTACCAGCTGAGGGTAAGTAAATAAATAAATGGATTACTTTTGTAAAAGAAGAACATGCAGAGCCTGGGGGGCATGGAGTCAAAAGAGGATTCAGCCTAGAATCCTTCCATTATCACAAATGCTCCAAGTCCAGCCCTTCCTTGAATCTCATTGACTCTTATCTAGTGCCAATTTAGTGCTGACCATTAGTTAACTAGATTCTTGTGTATAAGCTTGAGCAATAAAACTTATTAACAGGAACTTAACCTACAGTCCTGATTCTTTGCACCTGACAACTTTTGTTTAATGCCAACAACCTGAACAATGCTATTTAACTTAAAGCTTAACAAAGACCTCGATTCTCCATTCTCTGGTACCTTTCCACTACACTGAATTCAGAAGCATCCCACATTAATTGAGGTCTCTTCAATTTACCCGTGAGCCAATATTGACCTTAATTAACTCCACACAATGCACTGAGAACATGTGTCTTCTAGCAAGTCCTGGTTAAATGATCTGATTGCATTAATTAGTGTACATTCATTATTGTGCCTATCACCAGGTGCCTTGCTATCTGCAGAAGTTTGAAAAGCACCTTCCTATTTTAATTATAGAAATCTGAGCCTTTGAAGTTAACATATTTTTAGCTATTATTACTATAAGGAAGAGCTGCGGTGGCACAGTGATTAGATTGCAGTAATGCAACTACTTCTGCTGATCATCAACTGCCTGCAGTTTGGCAGATCGAATCTCACCAGGCACAAGGCTGACTCAGCCCATTGTTCCAAGATGGGTAAAATGAGGACCCAGATTGTTGGGGGAAATACACTGACTCTGTAAACCGCTTAGAGAGGGCTGTAAACACTATGAAATGGTATATAAGTCTAAGTCCTATTGCTATTGCTTACTAAAAACACATCTCACTTCTAAGTATTTCTGCAAGAGAGCTGTTCAGAAAAGGCAGGGCAACAGGAGATCTATGAACAAATGTCCCTATACATTTGCAATGCGCTCTACATGGGGCAGCCCTTGAAGAGCATTTGGAGACTTCAGCTCGTCCAGAATGCAGCTGCGTGAGTGATTGTGGGTGCACCTCAGTACACCCATGTTACCCCTATCCTCCGCGAGCTGCACTGGTTACCGATTGGTCTCCGGATACG